GCAATTCAGGAACTGGATTTAATAGATATATTTCAGTGTGACTTTATCCCACATTTTTTAAACAATGAAAAGAGACCTCTAAAATAAGAATAATGTTTTTCACTTTCTACTCTGGTGTCTTTGTATCCCATAGCAAGTAGACTACAAATTCAAAGTATGAACAAATTCAGCCATACAACTGCATATTTTTCCTCAGTTAACAGACAACACTGTTACCTTCAAACACAAATGATACATTAGAGAAAGGTATGTATTGCTCCTCAGTGCCCAGACGAGTTTATAAATTGCTTCCACACCATGCCAACACAGAAAGATCCAAATGGAGACAGTCCAGACACCGAGTGCTTCTCTAGTACATGCATACAGCAGCCATTTGTGGCTAACCTCAGAAATTCTGTAATATATAATAGCTATTTCTTAACATACACTATGCTAACTGTAGATAGTAATATTACACATATTTATTCTTGGGTAGGAACAAATCCTTCTCTGGCCTACATACAGAAACACTGGAGTGACATCTGCTGTTTTACATGCAGCTTTAGAAACAAGATTCTTCATTTAGCAGCCATTTTGATTAAATAGATGCCATGGCTATTAACTCCCGAAAGCAGGACACAAATGCATTCACTTATCTTCCTTTTAAAACGTTGCTATTCTGTTAAATGCTGATACATTAAATCCTTGCACAGATTTTACCTTTAAAATGACATCAAATGCATAGTTTTCCTTGCTTGACTGTATAATATTCCAGTACTCAAAGGAAGAGTTCACGCAACAATCTTCATTTTGAAAACTCTAAACTAATTTCTCCACTCTTTTGCCTCAGCTACTAAATATGTCATTTGGAAGTTCTGACGGCAGCAATAAAGAAGTGTGTTAGACTGCTCAACACAGGCCTTGACCATTTCACTTCCTTAGCATTTTGTATTGTGTAATTCTCATTGCTGACACACATAAAAGCACTTTATTTTCGAAGAAAGGAGGCAGCAGAGACATTGTTCTCTGTCTTATCTACTGTCTGATTAATCATGTTTCAGCTGAGATCAACTTTCAATTAGAAATGTTCCCAGCTGGAGAACATTAGCACATTTAAGTGGCCAGACCCTTCACTGCCTATACACAATACTGAAAAAAAATCCCAAGCTTTCTGCTCAAACTCATGCTTACAAACAAAGTATCACAACAAAACAGCTCCATCCTGACTTACTGAACATGTCTAGGCCAAATATAAAGCAGAGAAATAACTGTAGCACTGCTCACAGAAATTCATCATGTTGGAGCAATACAAGGAGAGTTTCAGGAGATGCTTTCTAAGATCAGGATTGTAAACACTTGAATTTAGGTACAATTTCAAAATATTTTTCCTTTTTTCACGTGAATCCTAACGTACATGGTATGTAGAACCAAGCCAAGAATTTCTCCTGCCTTTATTTGCTGCAAGGGCAATAGTTGCTTCCCTGCACAAAATGGACGTAGCATGACAGAAAGCAATAATATGCAGAGAAAACAAACTCACTGTTTTGAGTTGCAGCAGGGGTTGCAGTACTCAGGCACTATCAGAAGGGCCAGGAGTTGATCCTCTTGCTGCTGCGTGCACACTCTTGGCTCTTCCAACTGCGCTTAAACCAGACCTTTGCAGGCGTGGGGGGTCTTCCCTACAGAATGCAGCCAGAGTCCCACACCCAGCAGTTCCCATAGGATTCCCCTCCTCAGAGAGATTCTCCCTTCCAGCCGGCTCCCTGCTCAGGAAGCTCCTCAGTCACTAACCACATTTCCAGTTCTCATTTCTCCACAGGTACCACCATGTCTGCCTTCAGTAACAGCCACCAACAAGCATACTTTTATGTCCTTCAAAACCAGTGAAGCTAGGGTTCTCTTTGCCCTTTGTTGCCTTGCCTAAGCCAGCCCAGCCGCCTGGGCGCCATCTCAGAGCGGCACACACACCTCCCGAAGCGCCCTCTGCACAAACAATTTACAAACGTTGGCTCTTCCCCTTGCACGTTTGTTTAAAACCAGCGTTTTTCCCACATCTTCAACAGCAAACGAAGCAGGACTCACAAGATGAACGCCCCTTCTGGGGTATTTCAGAGGAGCTGCAGGCAGTGGGGCTCTGTGAGGGCGCCGCGCTGCCCCCTGCTGGCTCCAGAAGGTTCTCGCTGCTTCCAGGAGGTGCGGCGGCCCGCGCTCTGGGCGGGTGGATTTAAAGACAGACAAATGTTCCTTGAAGATTTCCTCCTTTGGTCCTGTCAGGAGGGCGAGAGGGCAGCTGGCCAATGACACCCCACAGAATTTTCCCTTCAGAAGCGTGCTCCTCAGGATGATCCCACCAAATCTGCCCCTGTGCCTCCCGTCCTGCCACCACCTCCAGCCCCGCTGCGCCCCCACAGATCCACTGGCACAGGAGCAGGGGAATAACACATTACAGAGCAATAAATCGGGGCACAACACCAGCACTGCTTCAGCCTCTCAAAGTCACAAAGTCTTTCAAAACTGTGACTACGATAGTCACTGCATTTCCCTGAAAATCATTCCATTATAACCCTCGAGTAACTATTTATCAGCAGAAGTTCCTGCTTAGCCTCACGCAGAAGCAATGACTCAGAGAGGAGCTGAGTCACAGCTACGGACTGTGAAACTAATTCCGCCCCAACCTCCCACCTGCTCTACCAGTCCTCCCCAGGTGGAACAGATGAGACTAACAATAACATAAGCCTGAAGAGAGGAGATGCTAAGGATGGCTTTTAAAGTTGAAGAAGAGGTGCTTTTATAAAAGACATAACTGTTTATAAAAATGAGTAAAGTTACAGATAAAGGATAGTGTTGATGTTGTGGGATGCTGCTGCCTAGCAAACGCTTAGCAAATATTTCACAGTAACAGCAGGATGCTAGTATTTAATGTGTCAGAACAGAAAACAAAATAGAACACCAGCAGTCTGCCGAAACCAGAGCGTGCCCAGCTGTGGCCTTCACAATGCATGGTGAAAGCTTCAACAAACTATTCTCACAAGCAAGCAGATTTAGAAGTTCAACTTTTAATAAAGATGTTTGTTGTAAGGTGAAAAATAAAAGTCTACAGGAGGCATATACACTATGAAATATTTCTGTGTATTAATGGCACAAAGTGCCCACCAGCCAAATGCTGGAACCTGGTCTGCCATTGATTTTAGTGGTGTTTTTACTAAAGATGCATAGCTGTGACCACATTTCTGCTTCCAGCATAAAGAAGAAATGGGGAGATGCATATGACTAATTTTTCCAGGACAAGGTCTATCAGCAAGAAGTCATTCCTTAATTGAGAAGTTAAGACCACAGTATACTGGCCAAAAAGTTATTTGTACTATGAAGCTCATTCTTGCTGGTAAACAAATAAAAAAGTACTAAAAATATTTAAATAAACACTGTTATGTATTAGCAACAACTGCCCTCTTGCACAGCCAGTCTCCACATACTGTAAGCACGATGGAGGCATATCTTTGCAATAAAGGGACCATGTCTGCATCTTCAGAACAGTAATAAATACAAATCCAGTTGAAAAATTTCCTGCTATGACATTGACTTACGGATGTTGACTTCTCTGAGACTGAACAGTTTAGTAGTCAGATGACTCACTTCACATGGCACTGCTGAAAATGTGACATACTGCATTTTGCTACTCAACACAGAAGATTAGTTTTAAAGTAAACTAATTTGTACATACTCTACTGTGCTTCTTACATAAGAAATATTTTTCTAACAAATTTTGGCAACAATAAAAACTTTCTTCTCTTACAGGGATAGATCTAAAACTATAATGTCTGGTTAGTCTAGAAATGCCTGAACACATTTGAAATATCTGCGTTCTGTTCTACAGAAATATCTGTAGGGTAAGCTTCAGTTTCTCGAACTAATAAATCTGTTTTTACATAGGTTGCTACAAAATAAATGTGTTCTGTTTATTCCCATGGAAACTACAGCAGGTACAACAAGCACAGTCACACTAGTTGACAGACCACATTCTCAGCTACAAAACACTACTTTTGAATAGCCACCAACATTATGCGCTTTCACCAGCAGTGAACAAAAGCCTGCATGCTGTACACAAATTTGCCCCAGAAGAGGCGTCCCAGTGTTGCTGTCACCACTGCTGAAACACACCACCTACCACCTCACTGTGCAGTGGGTATCAGCAGATGCATTTTCTTCCACACTGAGGAATTCAGTACCACCCTTTTACTCCACGAGCACTTCCAAGTCAGACACCATTCTGTCAGGCTGCCCCTCTGCTGCCACCTGTCACACAGCAACAAAAAGAAATGGAATACTGGTGGGAAGTTTCAACCTCTACTGCCATACCACCAACATGCACTTCTAATGTCATGGACCAACGTAGTAGAATAGGAAACATTACTTTTGGAGCAGCCCTCTTTATAGCAGTTGAAGAGCAGTTTTCTTTGGTGTTTTTACGTCGGTTAAGAATGCAAATGTTTAATGGAATCCTACTTGAAAATAGGATGTAGTAATAGAAAAACAAAGATGACTAAATTACTATGCATTTTCAGGTCTTACTTTAAAGTTTTCAATACTTAACAGAAACTGAAATACCAAAGCGAGAAGCAACCATATTAAATTGGCTGCTTAAACGTGCTAACCCAAGAGGTAACAACTAATTCCTCTACAGGTACAGGAAGATAGTAGCACAAATGAGAATTGAGTCTGAATTGCCCATAGGAAACCATGCTAGCTGCTTATTTATCCTTTTCAGCCACCCTGGGAGACAAACTTACTAAGACCGCACCTTCGGGTATACACAGTCATTTAGCTTCATTATTTCTTATGCTTTCATATTTTTCCATAGTATATTGGAAGATCAAGATATGAATAACTCCTGTAACAAATTCCCAAAGGATGCCTTTATAGCACTGAAGTAATCATTTCAGATCATGAAAAGAAATAAATTTAACTTCCTCTCCCCCAGTAATAAAATGATGTTCATAAAAAGAAGAAGTCTGTACAGGAGGCCTGGAAAAATTTGCTTTTAATTCTACCTTTCAAAACTGAGTTATACAAGACAATGTCACTGTTTATATTCAGTACATATATTAAATCAGGAAAAATAAGCAGGCTATAAGTAATTCCGTTTTCTGGAAAGGCATGTCATGAATATTTGTTCCCTGTGACTGAAAACAGAAGGAGGAGAAAACAGATTAAAAAAGGAAGAAGAAATTGTAACAACCTTTTTTTCCTCACATGCATGCTGAAAACGAGAAAGCATCAACCAACCTCCAATCAGCCTTACTTAAAGATCAAAATAAGCCTGCAAAGCTCAAAGCCTTTCTTTTTAAAAGAACCAATGCACAAAGAGTTAAGGGAATGGTAACTGGCACATTTTTGCAGCTTTGCTTCAATGACAGAAACATTATTTATAAGCCATCTTGTATTCCAAAGACAACAGTAAGGGTCCACTGTCTGAAAGCTTTTTTCACACCCCCAGTCAGCCTTTTTTTTTTTTTTCCAGATGTGTCATTACCTGCTACATTTAAGAGACTCGGTTTAATACCTTGCTAAACAAGTTACATGTGAATTGAAAATCTTCCAGCAATTTAGAAACAAAGTGCATACAGAAAAGGACCAAAACATCTTCAGAACAAAATTTGAAAATAGGAAACGCTGCTTAAGGGACTTGCTAAGGAAGATATTCTCTTGTTACTTAAAACATTAAAAACAGTAATAATGTCTTGCCACAATACAAAGTCTGTCTGAACACGTAAAGCTTTTGCTAAGGCTACATAAATCCTAATCCATATTTTCTCAGTAAGTCAATCAGTTTCCCCTACTTCTCTGAAGAGGCCTTGGAGTTGACAGAAACATCCAACACCGTGCATTGTACAGGAAGACCACCAGGCAGACTCTTTAAATTCAGAACTATTTTCTGGAGAACATTTGAGTTTCTCAGAAAATTTTTGAAGAGGCATTTGTTCTTTTGAATATACTAATTGGTGCTTCACGGGATACGTGGTTAACCATTTAGCAGCTTCCAACACGTTCAACGTTTGAAAATGCCATGTCTGTAGATGAACAACTAGATGAATACTTACTGGCCAACTATTTGACTTAATTTCTGTCTGTCGTCCATACACAACCATTCCTAGGTACCTTAATATGTTATAGATTCTTAACTGGAAGCAGAGTAATATGACTGCACAACACAATTCACATCACAGAGCTAATTTTGATCTTCAATTATGCATGAGAGATTCAAAATCAAATTGGCTGTCTCCACAGCTACTTGCAGGCCATTAAACTTTGCAGCAAAGCAGTCCAGTGTCATAAAGTCAGCAACCTTTACCGAAGGCTCTTTTGGGGAGCTCTCTATAGGAGAAGAGCCAAAGAGGGGTCGCAAATGTCTCCAGCTGAGATCCTTTGTGCTACTGTTTATTCCACAGCCACATTTCGAAAGTAAATCTGACCAATTAGAGACAGAAGGAAATCCTGATGGAACAAGCCAACAGTGTCCATAAGCCATATCAGTGAGAATTTCTCCATTATCATGACTCAGAGAACAAGCTACAGACTCCAATGAGTGACAAAACGCATCAGCGATCAACTGATATTGCGTCTGAGAACAATCCACATCTTGAGAACTGCTAGTGGGCAGACAGCAAATCTTTAAAGAAAAAAGAAAACAATTAGAATGGTGGATTTAGAGAAATGGCTTTAGTCAAACATATCAATTATTATTTTTTTTTTTTTTAAGAGTTCACAGTCAACAGAAAAGGTAATTTGCTCATTATTTCAATAGGAAAAGCTTCTAGACTTGTCAAAGTTGAGTCCTGCACGATTATCATTCAGTTAAAGTCTACACATTTTTATCATAACACTTAAACACTACATACCTAAAGAAACAGTTACAAGTGCAATATTAATGAAATTGTGAGAAGATGCCATTAATGAAGTGCTTCAAAAAGACACCTTTGTTATATGAACTCAGACAAACATGCAACATGCAATAGACAAGTGACAAATAGAATAACTGTAACAGAAATTGTGAAATTCTTGACTACTCAGTTTATTAAACAGCTTTAAAACACCCTTTCTCTTACGTACCTTTTGTCTTAGGTACGAAGCCAAATGAGTTTCAGTACAGCCACCTCCTAACAATGCCAAGGGTTCCTTGAGTGTTAACTGCAACACATGCTCTGCAGTTTCACAGGCACGCTGAAAACCATATGAATTTCTCATTAAAAACAATATAGTAGGATTTCACCAAATTAAAAAAAAAAAAAACACAACAACACAGCAAACTGGAATAAAGTTTTTAGTAATTCCTGATACTGACTTCATAAATTGAAATGTGAATATAAACATGTTGAGTGGCTTCCAAAGCCACGTTTACGGAGTAAAAAATGTCATTATTCGTCCACACTCTGTAAGCGTTGAAATAAAAATGAAAGGTGTATTTCATTCTTTTTTTTGTAAAGCTGACTTATAAAAAGGTGACCTGCACCAACACCAGTTTTAGAGTAACTATTCAATAAAAAAAATTACACTTCACTGCCACTGCAGGCAATGCTGCTGACCTTTTCCTGAGTAATTTATTTATGCTCCCATAAACCAATGGGAATGAAAACCTCTACCTTGCACTGACTTCAAGAATAGATGAAAACCGCTTGTTTCTGAACAAGAGGCATCAAACAAACGCAAGCACTCCAAGGATTTTTAAGGTCTGGAAATGAAGGAGTTTCTAAATTGCTTTCTTGAAGTTTTCTAAACTCAACTAAGCTCCAAAGTACCAAAGTTTACTGTTAAAAAACCCACTGTATTTATATTTCTCATTATTCTAATTTTTTCACTGAAAACATCACAACAGAAGTTTCAAAATTTGCTTACCTTCAGTTCATCCCAAGTTGTTTCATTTCTGTTACAGAGTATCAAGCTGCAAGCAACCGTGTCATTAGGAATTAGATGCACAAAGTGTTTGGAGGCAAAACTCTTGGCACACACGTCCTTCAAACTGCCGTAACAACTGGGAGACAGTGAATATATGGAAGCTATAGGCTTTGAACCTGTCCAATTTAAAAAAAAAAGAAGAGAACAGCATGCATTAGTGTCACAGAATAGCCATCTGCTGCATTTCAGAGCATCAACCTTTTTCCTTCAGGCTTTTTAAATATTGTATGCTCTACAATAATTAACATTTGAGTCTACACAGACAATCTCAAGCAGAAACCAGCATGTTTTCAAAGTGTAAGATTTAGCTCAAGATAAGTAATTTTATCATTTTCATTAGAAAAGAGTTTGAAAATAACTGACGTGTGCAAATAGTTGCTACAATTATATACTTCTCATAGAACAGTCAGTGATCGTTTGTGCAGTAGATCATTGCAGCCAGCCAGTACAAGACCAAACTCTTATGGAATTGCTTTTAGAACGAAAAGTAGCACTTTCTAGTCTGAAACACTTGCTCTGCTACTATGGTAGGATAAAGACAGAAATAGGAGAATTCCTGCTCCACAGTAACATCAATTTAGAAAGGTTTTCATTATGAGACTAGCAGCAAGGGTAACTATTTTGTATACAAAAAACAAACAAACAAAAAAACCCACTCATTACCTGTCACTTGACTCAGGGGTTCCATCACTGATAGCCCAGCCCTGTCCACAGCAATGACATGGTTATCTTTCAGATACTGTTTCAATGATGGATGGATAACTTTCTGGCACACTACAAGGCCAACTTCATTGTTAACCAACTGCTTTCCTACATTAAGCAACTGATCCAGCTCTGACATTTCTAAAGAAACTCTTTGGTGGACTGTTACTGTTCCTTCTTCTGGGTCAAAGAGGTCTCCTGACATGGACACACAGAAAACTGCTACCTTGACAGTGTCAGAGGAAGTTCTTTTGACAGAAAACAGTTTTGCAAATTGAATTTCTGGTGTTTCTATCAATAGCCCAGGAATAACTGCAGAATCCAGAACTCTTCTACCTTTCACAGGTACTGTTATACATTTTCCTAAAACAGGCTTAGTTTCAGGATGGCATGGAACAGTAAACATAAAAGCCTTTACAATTAGCACAGCAAGATGATCAACCTCTGTTTTATTAAGCATGCAAGCAGGTTTGCTTATTAATATGCTACGGACCAAACAAAGAAGAGTCTCAAGATTACTAAAATCCACAGACACTCGGCAAGCACAGGCCTCAGACCTGAGATAGTCAGTACACAAACTCAAAAGATGTTTGCTTATTTTTATGACAGTGCAAGATGCAATATTTAGGTTTTTGAAGCTTTCAATCAAGCTACAGCAAAGAATGGCAGTAAATAAGCCACAGTCACTGAAGCGGGACACATGGTTCTGCACAGAGGCTGTCAAAACCTTTAATACAGGGTGACTGACAGAAAGACGACCAAGTATGGCTGAAGATTGTGAAGTTAGACAAACGTAGCCTCCCATGCCATTGTGGAGCTGTTTAAGTCTACCAGCAGGCCCATAGCAAGATTTTAATATTGCAATTAACAGAGACAGTGGCTGACTAACTGTAGTTAAAGGTTCACTAGTAAATAATGAAGGCTTTTTAGCTTCAAGGCGAGACATTTTCAAAATTAGATTCTAATTCTGATATATAAAAAAAAAAAAAGTGATTTCACTCTTACTCAGATCTAGAACTCACAGCACTTTAAAGCAGTACATTTTTATTCTTTGCTGACAAAGATTACTATTTTAAATGTAAAACAATATGCTAAGTACATTAGATTCTGCACATCAGCCATCTCAAAACGAGGCTTAAATCCCAGAGTGAAATTGGAAGTGACAGCTTTATAGCTACTTCATTCACGATGATCATCTCTCTTAGTTTCTGAATGTGATCGAGCAGATTTTTTTGCAACAAAGTTTACAAGCATGGTTCCAAAATGGAAACCTATAAGTGACAGTCCTGCCACAAGCAGAATGTTCTTTTTACTCCAGCTAGCTTTCCTCATCTTCTCTTCTGGCGATACTCACAGGTGATGTTTCAAAGTTAATTATACCTACAATAAAAACAAGATTATTAGGTATTAGCATAATCTTACACCAGTATCACACACCTTTAAATGCTTTTTTTTCTTCCCCCAGAAAAACTTCACATATGGAAAAAAACTACAGTATGATATTTAATTGAAAAAAACAATATATAGAGGTACGCAGTACATAAACTATATATTTTTATTGTTACTTTCACTTCTGACCTTTAGGTTCTATGCTGTTTTACGTATAGGTTGACAGGTAGCATGGCACTACAAAATACACCAAATGGTATGAAAGTGTCAGATTACAGAGATGCTGTTTTTAAGCAAAGAACAAAAAAGTGAAACATTCAGCACTACTTCCCATGCAGCCACTTCAGAAACAAAAGATCTTAGCACATTTAAACAACTTCTACCTCTGCCCCTGCAAGAAAGGTTTCTTACTTCAACTTATACAGCATACACTTAATTAGCTCTTAAATACTTCAAAATGTAAAGATGCATTACTTACATCTATATATCTGTAATGTCTACAGAGACTTCTCTCATTAGAGACTGTTAGATTTAACCACTATTCTGTACTGTGACCACTATTAACAACACAATGCATTATACTAGTGTAGTCATAATTCTGGCCAGTTTTGAATCTGGAAAGGACCCTATTACATACCAAATCAAACACAGAAGTTTGACTGTTGCCTTGAAAAGTGACTGGGGTTTGTTTAAAAATAACTTTCAAAACTTGTAACAGCATCACATTATTAATCCTACTAATACAGGATAAACAGTTTGAGAACTTACATGCATCTAGAAAAAAAAAGTTTTGTAACTACCAGGTTAACTCATCTATGAAAGAATAAAACTCTAGAAGACTAACACCACAGCACCAATACTGCATTTTCTAGAGAAGTGATCTCCTGCCTCAAAGATGTAGGCACAACTGGTTAGGAAGCTTACCTAAAACACAGCCCTGATGTTACTTTTCTTTATTTTTGCGATCACTTTGCATTACATATGTCACAATTCCAGGTTCTGGAATAATCTCCTCTGTCTTCACTTGGAAAAGAGGACTGGACTTGATGTGGAACCACGACCAGTGCACCAGGCTAAGGCTAATTCCCATAACAATCAGAACTTTGTAGTCCTTCCATAAGGTTCTGAGGTTCATCATAAATTGGCATTTATGTACCTAGACAAAAATAATTAAAATACATTTCAGAAATTCTTTTTCCTCTTATAACAGCACAAAGCACAAATGTAAATATCTTTCATTACAGCACAGCAAACAATTACAACAACATGACAAAGGAAAGCTTTACTTTACGATCTCCAGGAAAAAAAAGGTTTTTAAAGTAACCTCAATTCAGACATTTTGATCTGTTAATCACTATGTTGCTGCAAGTTTTGGCACACTAAATGTTAAAGCTTCGTGATGTTTCCCTAATTACACATTATCACCTCAGGCAGCAGATAACTGAAGGCTAAGTCAACACATAAAGCAGTATCAAATACACCATTTCTCCTGCTCACTTCACAAGAATAACTCGAGGGGCTCCTCAGAGAGCATCAGCTTTTAGCCTACAGGCTGTGCTGTGTTTCTGGTAGCACTCCAGGCTGCCCAGGCCGGCAGTTCAGCCTGCCTGCCTTACCTCTGTGCCCTTGAGCCTCAGAAACTACAAGGGCATCACGAAGTGAACTCAGCCGCTCTTATAAAGAATACGAAGAGCCGCCCACACGAAGTCTCATGGAAAAGCACGTACCAACGTGCGCACAGAAAGCGACAATTACAAATATTTTGATTTTATATCACGACATCTTCTTAGTTTGAAGAGTTACAAAGGTACAGCTCAGACAGCAAGTGATCCCGACCGCTTCATTCTCTCACTGACGAGGAAAAACCAGGCACACGAATTCGGGCTCTGAGCCAGCCCCACAAAAGCAGGCTGAGGTGCCTCCGCAGAGCCGTGCCGGCGGGAGCCCCCACCTCACCTTACCTCACCCAGTAACACAACCCTCCCTGACAACCTCCAGACGCAGAATGGCCGACGGGGCAACGGCCGCCAGGAACGAGTTGGAGAAAAGACGCGACCGCCCAGCGCTCACCTCAGCTCGCCGGAAGCCGGGCCGGTCCGAGGGACGCGGAAGGCGACAGCAGGAAGCAGCCTTACAGGGACCGGAAACGCCTCTCCCGTCCCGAACGGGGCTCGTGCGAATATAGGCGAGGACGTCCTTCTCCCTGCGTGCCGTTGGCCAGCCCTATATCACGTGATCAACGAGTGCGCTCGCTCTCCTACAGTCACCCGCCGCCCTGGCGGCCATTTTGCTTTAGGGCAAAACGCTGGGCGGGCCGCGGCTACGGACGGCGGCCATTTTGGATAGGGGAGAAGAAGCTCGCGTTTGGCAGCCATCTTGCTTGGGGGCAATGTAGCCGTTAGGACCGTTGGAGGCGGGCACGGCGTATCGGGAGACGCGGCGCGAGCGCGGCGTGGCAGCGCTGCTCCCAAGCTGGGTCTCGTTGCCTGTAGCCGCCGCGTCTCAGGCTGCAGTTCCGCTTTCCCTGGAAACAGAGGCGCGCGGTGGCGGCTCGGAGTAACGGCCGTCCCTCAGGCTCCGCCTCCCGAAACTTCCCGTTGATTTTAAAAAAGCCGCCTCGTTTTCGCTGCCTGCCGTTGTGCCCCGTTCGCTCCTGCGCTCCTCTGCCTGAGTCTTCGTGCAGGTAGATGCCGTTACCTGACCGCAACGAGTTCAAGATGCTCCCTCATCCGAGCTTCCTTCTGCTTGTCTTATTCTGTACTTCTGTATCCGCTCTTTGCTTTCCCCGTTCCTTCCGTTGCTATCAGTAACACTTCTGTCGCATTTGCCCGTGGTTTTAAGTTGGTGGAGGATTGCAAAGTTTATAACCGTAGCCAAAATGCAGGTTTTTAGAAATTAACTTAAAAACTTTAATGTATACTCTGAAAGGAGCATAGCAGTTCTGAAAGATACATAAAACAGCTGGGATTCACTCAGCAAGGCCAGAAGGTCGCATCCAGCCCATCTGACAGGGCGCTCTGGTGTGCATCTCATTGCTTTCACATATCAACAGCTGTGTAGGTGAAACATACCACTGTTGCATTTGTGTTGTACTCTAAAGGTGAACTGACACTCTGAATGAACACGTTCAGATAACAGTGAAATAAAAAAAAATCGCAACCTTGTTGGAAAAGTAGTTTCTGATGAAGTGAAAAAAAAAAAAATAATGGGCATAATGGGCTGGAATTCCCAAAATGGCAGTGCCCACGGGTGATGGCGTATTTCTGCAGAAGCAGAAATGCTTTGTAAGTATGCGTGTTGCATGGTGTTACCCTGCTGACCCAAGGTCCAGGGTCAACATTTAGAAATAGCCAGAGCACTGGCAGTGCTTGCTGTCCAACACCTAAGCTCCAGAGAGTTCAGAAAAAAAAAAGTCTATTACGTTATGATAGTTGATTTTGACTCTAAGTGATAACTAACTGTGGCACATCCTAGAGAGGTATCCAATTATTGTTCTGGTTTTGCCTTTTTTTTCAGGTACCCACCTCTTCTCACATGTGATAACAGCGCCCAAAGATGGGCAGAGCATGAACAGTTTGTAATGTTAGAAGTTGCTGTATGTAGGCATGTGTAGCAGGAGTTTTCAGTTCTGTCAGCACTGAAAGCCACATCTTCACTAAGGTAAGATGCTGTTAATCAGCTGATTGACTTGTGTAATGCTATAATGGGATAGAAAGTACAGTGATAATAGCAGGGTAGCAAAGCCTTGGCTGTAGCAAATAAGAATGAACCCAAATGCAGCAACTATAGAAATGAAGAAAAAGAGCTGCTTACCTCTGAAAGGCCTCTGGTAGGTAGAGATCTCCACCAAGAGATGCCTTTGCCTCCACTGCCAACCCTTAAATGAGGTTTGGGAAGGGGTGGATCCTGGCTCCGGACATTTCAGTCACTCAGGAGTGTTGCATGCACCTGAGCTCCCTGGGTTGGCCCTGCCTTCCTACCAGGTGCTCCATCACTGGTTTGGGCTGTTGCTTCTCATTTCTGCTAAAACTTGCTTTCTGGGAAGCCCCATTTCCTTAATTTTCTAAGTTTCTGCCTTTTCACTTGACTTTAAATTTTAGAAAGGAAGGTATTCCATTGTGTCATTTCTAGAACATGCCTGATGCTTCTTACCAGGAGGTTGTGTATCTAGTTCTGGGTCTTGTTTTGATGTTTGTTTGCTCACTGTGGGGTTTTTTGTTGGTGAAAGATGTCCATCAATAATTTAGATGTTTGAAATACTACAAATACCATATTGAGGATTTATATTTTAGAGAGTAAAATTTCATAGGTAGGTTTTTCTGTCATGTGTAGTTGTCTTCATGTTTTCTTATCGGAGATTTCGTTTAGGACTTGGGTTATTTTGTGGTGGATGCAGAATTCCATGAATCAGATTTTGTTATCAAATAGCAGCAATTGTAACAGACCTTCATCCTTTGGTTGCAACATAGTAAGTATCAAAGTATTGTAGAGATAGATGGTGTCTTTTCTTGTAGCATTGTTGTAGGATTTTTTCCCTCATTTCTTGGTGTCTCAATATTATGATGTTTTGTTTTATGATTTTTTAAAAATCTTTTTTTTTTTTCTTTCTTTCTCTTATTGCTTTGTAAATTAGATTTGGGGAAGAATTCTTTCTACTAAGGGTTGTGGTACATCAGTAACAGCATCCTTATTGGGTGGCATGTTTTAATGTTGGTGATGCCAGAAAAATATCTATGAGCATTTGGTGAAAAGGTGGTACCCTGGCGTTTCAACTCTTCTTTGTATCTTT